CAGTGCGGGGGGGGGCAGACAGACACATGTTGTGCTTTTATCTTGCCCCACCTGCCTCCCTCCCCCGGGCCCAACCCAATCCCAGAGGAGGCCTGTTAAGAGGGAGACGCTCAGGGCCGACCCGGCCTGGCCCCAGAGGCTGGGCTAGATGGGACCCAGGCCGGCTCCATCTCTTCGTCCCCAGAGCGGCTCCATTTAACGCCCCGGGGACTCCCCACTTGCAGAAGTGCCGTCGCCCTTGGCCCCCCGCCTCAGTGGGGCCCCTGGAAACCGGGCTTGCACGCACCTTATTTCCAAGGAGAGGGGTCCGGTGAGCAGTGGGAACGGGATGTGGCGGGAGGAGACCTTCCCGCTGCCTTTCGCCGTGGCCCCGGCTGCGTGGGTGCGGCTGCCTGGCTCCAGCCTGCTTCTGAAAACGCAGCCCATCAGAGCCGGGAGTGAGCGCTATATGGACGGCGGCTCTCCCCCCGGCCTCTCCTCCCGCCCCGGGTCTTCACCTCCTCAGTCAGTCAGGCCCAGGGCAGGAGCTGCCCAGAGGCAGGAACCGCTGGGAGCCCGCAGGGTGAGGAGAGAGGAAACCAGACACCTCCCTCCCCGTGTGTATCATCATTAGTGGTGATCTTGTGTGACCCACACCCCCAGTGTGGTTCGCTGCCCCACACAGTGGCACTCGGACCACTCACAGCCAGAGAGAAGAACTAGGGAGCTCTACGGCCGCGCAGAGCCAGCTGGCTTTATAGCTCATGCTGTAGCAGCTCCTCCACTGAACTCCAGAGGTCGCAGGTTCAGATCTGCCCGGGGGGGGGGGTTACACTGTCCCTTCCCCCACCTTTCCGACCGCAGGCACTGGGCCGTCTCCTCCGCAGCTCCCTCTCTGAGTCCCAGCGCCATGCTGCCCCCACACAAGGCAGAGGGGGGGCGGCTTGCTGGGTCCTCACCTCCTGTCTGCAGCCTGCATGAGCCCAATCTGGTGTCTCAGCGCATCCAGCGCCAGCTGGTTCTTCCCCTCCTGGACCTTCAGCTCCAGCAGCAGCTGCTCGACGTGCGAGACGGAAGAGTGGCAGGGGGGCCTCTCTGAGTCCCAGCGCCATGCTGCCCCCACACAAGGCAGAGGGGGGGCGGCTTGCTGGGTCCTCACCTCCTGTCTGCAGCCTGCATGAGCCCAATCTGGTGTCTCAGCGCATCCAGCGCCAGCTGGTTCTTCCCCTCCTGGACCTTCAGCTCCAGCAGCAGCTGCTCGACGTGCGAGACGGAAGAGTGGCAGGGGGGCGGGGCCGCAAGCCATGCACAGCCCACGTACAGCGTCATGTCTGCATCCGCCTGCCGCCCGGGGGGCTCCAGACTGGCTGCCCCGGGGGATCAAGTGCAAAGGGGAGAGAAGGCGGCACAGGGACCATGTTCACCTTCCCATTCTCCTACCCTCTCGCTGCTGCTGCAGATGCAGGTTCCTGGCCTGGATACCAGCCATCTGGTGCTGGTGCACCTTCGCCATCTCCTGCAGCCGCTCCCGGTACTCCTGCCGGTGGGGAACCCGACGGCCGGCGGCCTCCTGCAGGACGAGCAAAGCCCAGAGGAGAAGGCGGCACCACATCACGGGAGCAAATCCGGGCAACCTCTGTGTCAGGATGGAGCAGCCCCGGGGGGCTGAGAACGGCCCCAAGCTCAGAGCACCCTGGACCGGCTCTACCAGGGAGGGGCGACAGACGTGCTGTTTGCCCAGTGCACGTGCAGCCGGCCGGGAGCCTGGTTCGAGTCCAGCTGGGACTTTTCAGTTTAGAGAAGGGGGGATATGACCGAGGTCTATAAAATCATGACTGGTGTGGAGAAAGTGAACAAGTTAGTTATTTGTTCCCGTAACACAAGAACTAGGAGTCACCCAACGAAATTAATAGGTAGTGGGTTTATAACAAACCAAAGGAAGTTTTTCTTCACACAATGCACAGTCAACCTGCGGAACTCCTTGCCAGAGGATATTGTGAAAGACCAGGACTTTAACAGGGTTCAGTAAAGAACTAGATACATTAATGGAGGATAGCTCCATCAGTGACTATTAGCCAGGCTGGGTAGAAATGGTGTCCCTAGCCTGTTTGTCAGAAGCTGGGAATGAGCGACAGGAGAGGGAATCTCTTGATGATTCCCTATTCTGTTCACTCCTTCAGGGGTCATCCGGCATTGGTCCCTGTTGGCAGACAGGACTCTGAGTTAGAGGGACCTTTGGTCTGACCTAGCTGGGCCGTTCTTATTTAAAAGGAGGAAGCTGGGAGCAAGCCAGGGGGCCTCCAGCTAATGGGGCAGGATGGGAGGCTCTGGGGCAGCCATAGCTTCTCACAACCGCAGCTGTTCTTAAAGCTGAAAGCCTGCCCCTGGTCACACCCTCCTGCCTTGGCCCCGCCCCCCGAGAGAAGGGCCGGGGGGTCTACGAACCCAATTCATGCGGCTTCAGGTTTGCGAGCTGCCTCTGCTGGCCGCAGGGACCCGAAGCCTTCGCTGAGCACCCCTGGCGTTCCGACCTCTTCTGCGTGGGCTCCACTCGCCTCCCATTCCCTGCGCATTTCCCAAGTCTCACAGTCGCCAACCACTGGGTTTTACCTCTGGCTTTACGGGGCGGCACGTAGGGACCGAGTCCTCCAGAGACAGCCTCAGTTTGTGGAACTGGGAAAAGAGAAGTGATCGCGTCCTGAGGGACTCCCCTTCTTTTGTATCAGCACAGCACATAGGCTAGGAAAGGTACCCAGAGGTAGCTCAGGGTCGCTGATGCGTTACCCCCCTTCAAAGGCACCGGTGACAGAAGAAACTCCGCTAACCTGAAGATCCCGCAGAGATACAACACGCACAGACACCCACCCCTCCCCGTGGTCTCGTGTCCCCAGAAACGTCATGGGGATTGTGATAGCTTTTCAAATCATCTGGGATTTTTCGGGATTTTTCTGTAGTTTTCTGGAACTGCAACGTAAATTAGCCCAGAACCTGGGGTGACCCCTATGGGAGGGAAATGTAGTAACTGGCCCTGGAACTGAGAGGGAGGAGTCGGTTCCAGGAGGGAAGAGTTTGGAGAGAGCACGAGGCTGTTAGTCTGTGTGCACATGGCTGGAATACACTCCCTGCAGCTCCTCTGCAAACAGTGCTCTGAATACAGAGCCATTTAGCTTTACACACATGGAGTCTGTTCATGAAACTGCCCCGCTCCCAGTATGTGAACCACAAAGGGTCACTCCCCCATCTCGGGGGCACATGGTGTGTGTAACCCCCACACCTAGGCTATGTCTACACTGGCGCGATCTTGCGCCAGAAATATGCAAATGAGGCTAAGTGTGAAATATCGCCGAGCCTCGTTTGCATATCTAATAAGCCGCCATTTTTGCAGAAGAGGCTCTTGCGCCAGAAGGCATGTCTACGCTGCCCCTTCTTACGCAAGAAAACCCCTCTTGCGCAACGCCGTTACGCTGATTATTTTCAGGAATAGCGGCATTGCGCAAGAGGGGTTTTCTTGCGTAAGAAGGGGCAGCGTAGACATGCCTTCTGGCGCAAGAGCCTCTTCTGCAAAAATGGCGGCTTATTAGATATGCAAACGAGGCTCGGCGATATTTCACACTTAGCCTCATTTGCATATTTCTGGCGCAAGATCGCGCCAGTGTAGACATAGCCCTAGGCTGTGTCTACACTGGGCCACTTATTCTGGAAAAGCAGCCACTTTTCCGGAATAAGCTGCGGGCTGTCTACACTGGCCGCTTGCTTTTCCGGAAAAGCACTGATGATCTAATGTAAAATCATCATTGTTTTTCCAGAAAAACTATGCTGCTCCCGTTTGGGCAAAAGTCCTTTTCTGGAAAAACTGTTCCGGAAAAGGGCCAGTGTAGACAGCACAGATTTCTTTTCTGCAAAAAAGCCCCGATCGTCATTTTCGCGATTGGGGCTTTTTTGCAGAAAAGAAATCTGTGCTGTCTACACTGGCCCTTTTCCGGAACAGTTTTTCCAGAAAAGGACTTTTGCCCAAACGGGAGCAGCATAGTTTTTCTGGAAAAACAATGATGATTTTACATTAGATCATCAGTGCTTTTCCGGAAAAGCTTCCTGCCAATGTAGACGCGCTTTTTCCAGAAATACTTATAACGGAAAAACTGTTCCGTTTTAAGCATTTCCGGAAAAGGGTGCCAGTGCAGACGTAGCCCTAGTGTGGTTCACTGTCCCATGCAGTGGTACTTAGACCACAGCAACAGCTACAAACAAGAGACCTCTACAGCACGGGCTGGGAGCCAGCTAGCTTTTATCTCAAAGGGTAGACACTAAGCTCCAAAGGTCCCAGGTTCAAATCCGCCCAGTGACAGTTACACATACAAAGCAACAACAGTGACTCCTGGTGTGTGCAAGAGGGGAGGATGCTTTTCCCTCAAAGCCCTGCTATTCTACAGATGCGGAAGGGGCATCCCAGAGGATGCTCCAGAAGCGTCCGTATCCCCTCCCCCGACTTTCTCCGGGCCCATGACACCCAGCTCTTGCTGGGGTGCAGGGAGGCGCAGCGGCTGGGCCAGTGCAGGGGGAAGGCCCAATGTAAAGGAGCAGAGAGCTCTACGTTCCAGCAGAACAGGCACCTCCTCGGTCAGCTTCCTCAAGGCCTGGCTGTCGGAGGCGCCGTTCCCAACAGAGCCCTCAAGCAGGTTCCTCTCGCGCTCGCTCAGGCTGTCTGGCGGCTGCTGTCCCAGACGGGCTCGCCTCACCCACGGGTCGCTCAGCTGCCGCCGCTGGAAAACAAACCGGCCCAGGTGAGGGACAAACACATGCACCCATTAACCGGGGGTGGAGGAGGGCTACCTCGGCTGGAGCAGCGGGCCTCAGACCTCGACCCAGGGCCGACCCGCTGGGCGTACCACCAAGACTCAGATTCATGCCACTGCCGTGGATTCTCACCGACACGCTGCTTGTATGCCACTCCCCGGTGCCACCCGGCTGCAGCCCACGCACCAGGGGTGAGCGTCTGGCCCCAGAAGTCAGTGAAGAGTTTTGCCACTGACTTCACTAGGCCCAGGATTTCAGCCATGGAGACATGCACCACAGCCTGAAACCGCTGCCCGCGGCCACTTGGGAAATCTCCGGCTTCGTTTCCACGTGGCCAACTGCGTGTTAGGATGATTAAAGGTCTAGAAAACCTACGAGGGACGACTGAAAGAACTGGGCTTGGTTAGTTTGGAAGAGAGAAGACTGAGGGGACATGGGAGCCGTTTTCAAGTATCTAAAAGGGTGTGTCAGGGAGGAAGAAAACTTGTTCTCCGTGGCCTCTGAGGACTGGACAAGAAGCAAGGGGCTTAAATTGCAACTATCGAGGTTGAGGTTGGACATTAGGAAAAACTCCCTGCCTGTCAGGGTGGTTTAACACTGGAATAAATTGCTCAGGGAGGCTGTGGAATCTCCCATCCCTGGAGATATTTAAGAGCAGGTTGGACAGACGCCTGTCAGGGATGATCCGGACGGTGCCTGGTCCTGCTGTGAGGGCAGGGGACTGGATTCGATGATTTCTTGAGATCCCTTCCAGTTCTAGGATTCTATGATCCCTGTCTCCCCTTTCAGGGCTTGCTGCTTTAGTCCACAGTGGGTGCAAAATATCTACATTTGAATTCCTGTCCCCTTCCCCGATCTCCCAGAAATGCAACACACCCAGTAATCCCCTTCTCCAATATCTATACGCCCCCAGCGGCCCTCCAGGACAAGGGACGGCCACTTGGACTCCCGTGTTGTGACGCAGCGAGCTGCAGGAAGTGGAAGCTGTACGCCCCATGCTCTCACGACAGTTCCCTACGGGCTGGCAGGGATGAAGTGCTGGGAAGCCTGTTGATCGAGCTCAGCCATGCTCAACAACAATATTTGAGCATCTCCCAAACCCTCTATGGACATTCATCAATTCTCAGTGCCCCACAGTGAGGCAGGCAACTGCAATTATCTGTGCCTTACGGGTGGGGAAACTGAGGCACGGAGCCATTGAGTGCGTCAACAAGTTCACAGGGCCAGTCAGTGTCAGAGCCAGGGTTAGAATTTCAGAAGCAGCCGATTCCTGTAGCGAAGGGTGCCACTATAAACCCCCACGAGACAGATCTAGAGGAGTGCATGGCTCCCAGGCTAACACTCAGACCGCTAGACCCTGCTATCTCTCTAACAGCCCTTCTCAGGCTGTGGGGCTGTGACCAGCATTTACCTGGGGGTGGGGGGGATGGTAACTCTACACCTTGTTTAGGGACTTTTATTGTGCCCACCCAGCAAGGTACCTGAACACCCACTTGTTTTAAGATCAGTGAGAAACATCTTTTGCAGACCATCTGAGAGCTCTGATGGGCTCTAGTCTCGGTGCTGACTGCCCTGCGTGGACATTATAGCTCCCATAGGGCACACTCTGCCATGAGAGCAGTGTCTGGAGAGGAGTGCTGAATTTGAGCAGCATGTACTATTTGGCCACCCCAGAGGTGGCTGCATTTTCACAGGGCACTTGGAGATGGCAAGCCTGGTCAAAAGAGACGGCTGGGAGGGGGCAGGGCTGGATTACCCACTTGTTTGATTGCACGCTGCCATCTCCTAGCAACTCAGCACACAAGCCTGGTGCAACAATCGGGTTCCACTGGGGAGCGAGCGGCCCTTCCCAAGGCTGGCTCACATCAGGTTCGCACCCACTGCCGAGCTGAGCACGCGGATCTAGCGACGCAGCTTCTCTCTCTTCCCTACCCCAACAGGGGGCCTGCCAGGGCTCCCTGCTGGGGAATGCACCATCCCCGCTGCTGCAGAGGGGGGACACTGAGGGGATGGAAGGAAACCCATTCCCAGAGGTCCCAAGCTGGGTGCAGTCCCCCTATTGTGCTCACACAGTGAGACAGCCCGATTACACTAAGAATATAAGAGCAGCCATAGGGTCCATCTAGCTCAGTCTCTGGTCTTCCAACATTTGTCATGATTTTATAGAGCTCGATCATTTCCTCCCTTAGTCGTCTCTCTTCCAAGCTGAAAAGCCTCAGTCTTATTCATCTTTCTTTATATGAAGGCCATTCAATATCCCTAACCGTTTCTGTTGCCCTTCTCGGAACCGTTTTCAATTCCAATATATCTTTTTTGACATGGGACAACAACAGCCGCACACAGGGACTCAAGCTGTGGGCGTATCATGGATTGAGATAGAGGCAATATGATCGTCTCGGTCTTATTACCCATCTATTTCTTAACGACTCCCAACATTGTGTTTGCTCGTGACTGCCGCTGCATAAAAACCAATGCTCCAGAATTGTGGGAACTAAAACAAGATGGAAAAATTACCTGAAAAGACTGAGTTTGTGCCCTTTTTAAATTCACTATGGTCTATCTCAAAGATTTGGGCTTTTGTTCCTTAATGTAGGCATTTGATCCCCTTCCAGAAGAGCGTGCTTTTTCCTGCTTGTTTTGTACATCAGAATTTCAGGTCTCTTCTCACCTGGAAAACTCAATGTACATTTGAGAAAGCTGCTGGGGGATGTTAAATATCGAGCAATTGACTAATCGAATAGTCGATGCAAAATGCATCGACTATTCGAGTAGTCAATAGGGCACCTCTGCCTTTGAAGTGTAAGGCTGTTGCTACACTTCAAAGGCGAAAGTGCTGTGTAGAGCCCTGGGTCAGCTGGGGACTCCCCTGTTGATCCCTGGGCTCCACCGTGGGGAGCCCAACGTCAAGCTCCCCATGGCATTTCAAAGCGGCAGTGCCCCATGGAGCCTGGGGTCAGCGGGGGACTCCTCAGCTGATCCTGGGCTCCTTGCAGCACTGCTGCTTGGGGACACCTGGGCTGCACACGGTGTTTCAAAGCGGTAGCGCCGTAGGGAGCCCGGGTTCTGGCTCCAGGCTCTGCACTGCACTGCCGATTGAAACACCCCTTCCTCTTCCCACACCCCGTGCTGCCTCTTTCTGATAGAGGCAGCAAGTGGGGGGGAGCGACTCGTCGTTCACATCCCCAGTTTAGGGCCGCACGAGTTGTGAACAAGGAGAACTTGCCAGAAGGCGAGTGGGTTTTAGCCGGCTTGTTTCAAGCTCTTTGGATTCGTTGGAGCCTATTTAACTCAAGTCCCTCTGCCAAGGATGCAGTCTAGGGCCGAGAGTTCCCACGCCAAAGGGGAACAAGCCCCCTGGAAAGAAACGCACCAGGCCGTAAGCGAAGTAGCCCAGCCCAGGTAGGTGCACCAGGCTGAAGAAAGGGACTGCGGGAACCTTCCCTCTTTTCATGTATGGAGCCTGCTCCGGTTCCCCCTGGCGTCAGTGGAGAGACGTTTCCCACGCTGCATGCTGGGAAAACGGCCTCCCTGCAGTCTCCTCATGGCACCTCTTTGCCATATTTCTGGCGTCCCGTGGGGAGTCAAGCAGCGGCACCGCTGGGAGGACAAGCCATGGTTCACCTGGCAGCTGTTAGAGTCCGCCCCACAAGTGCTGCCTGGTTACCTGCACACCCCTCTAGCCCTGCCCGCCCTGCAGGGAAGGCCTTTGATTACCGTGCGCTCTGGAGTCTCTGCGTTCCTGGGCCCCGTCCCCCCGTGCCCCCCCGGCTGCTCCTGGTGTCTGGCATTGGGCCCTCGGGCGTCTCCTGCTGCCTGACCGCCGATGCAGAACTTCTCCATGTGTTTGTCCAGCAGGTGCTTGGAGCGGAAGCCCATGTCGCAGCTGGGGCAGCGGAAACCCCCCACGTCTGACATGCTGCGTGGGAACCGGGGCCCCGACGTGCCTGGTTTTCCTACGGGGGCTTCCCCCCCGTGCTGCTGGGCACAGCTGCTCCAAAAACCTAACCCAGGAGCAGAGACACAGCAACTCGCTAACCATCCTCCTAATTCCCCCACCAGCTCCAACTGGGACCCGCGTTTTACGGAGGGGGAAACAGAGGCACAGAGAACCAAAGGGCACCGGGGAGCTGGCAAGCCTGGCTCCTAGCCCCAAGCCACCCGACAGGAGGCACCAGGCTGCAAAGGGAGCCCCCAAGGAGCCGGAACAGAACTAGAGTGACCAGGGACACGCCCCGGTTTGGGGGGCGGGGAGAGACTGAGCTTCCCTCTCCTCAGTTAGTCTCCAGCCTCCGCCAAGTTGCTCCATTTCTGGGCTTTGCCCCCTCCCCCGGTGGCTCCTGATCCTGCTCCCCCATTGCCTGCAGGGGAGAAGGGAGTTGGGGTGACAGCCCCATCGCCCGTTTAGTCTCGCTGCATCAGGGCAGGGAACCAGCCCGTTCTAGCCCTGGCGCAGGGCACAGCGGCCTGGCAAAGCCGCCTCCCCAGCTCCCGGCAGACGGCAAGCCCGGGACTGACCTGTTCTGTCGCCCAGCCGGTTTCCACCGTCCCACGCAGCCCTGGAGCTCTGGCTTGGGGGCTGAGCTGCAGTTGCTAGGCTGGGCACTGGGGGAGAAGCCGGCCCAGCAAGGCAAAGGTAGAGCACGGAGGAGCCAGGCCTGTTAGCAACCGGAGGATCTGTGGCCTGTTTGTGTTTGGCCAGGTGGCCGTTGGCAACAGAGTCGCTGGCGTGGAGGAAGAGGTCGCTAGCCTAGAAGGAAGAGGAGCTGGTTGGACAGAGCAATGCACCCCACTAAGCCATCTTCTAAGGCAGGGGCGGGGAACCTCTGTTGGACCGAGGGCCGCTGACCCACGGAAAAAAAATCAGTCGGGGCCACACACGAGTGAGAAGCACGAAGGACTGAGAAGCAGAAAGACCCTCCCCCCATGCCGCTATACACCAGAACCTTGGGGGGCCCAGCCTAGTAGGAGTGTGTGCTCCAGCCCCACGGGGAAGGGTGGGGGGTCTGGAGCACCAACACAGGCTCCCCAATGCTGGTGGGGGAGCCCCGAGCCTTGGGGGCCAGATCCAGCCAAGCCAGGGCCACATCTGCTTCCCCACCGAGATTTAAGGACGCTCCAGCCACGGGATCTTGCTTGAAGAGCAGAGATCCTGCCGCTGCTTTGTAAGTGAAACCCTGACACGCCCAGACAAAACATCCCCGCACATTGACCAGCCCCCATTTCTCGTGATGAAAACGCGACTTGCCCATCCTGACAACAAACTTGCCCAGCCCAGGGACGAACAAACTTGCAAAGCTGCCGTAAGGGCAAAGACGCTTCGGGAACAAAATCCCCAAATAGCAACGTCCTGGCTTCTTAAGTCCAGCGTCATGACTGGCTCCGGCAGACAGACCCCTAGACTCTCAGCGAAGGAGCGCAGTGAGGCACCATGTCTGCCTGTAGGCGCCCCCGTAGCTCGGAAGCAGCTGGCTCTCTGCAAACTGCAGGAGGAGAGCCAAAGTGCTGATTTTATTTGTGAGAAGCACAAAGTTCCCAGGGCCGTTGTGTGTAGCAGCAGGCCTCTCGCCTTGCAGCCGCACCCAGCCACGCATATCACATTCGGTTGGGCAGCAGCCCCGGACAAAGCCCTGTTTACTATTTCAGCTTGACCCTGGTCTCAGCTTTACCAGGGGAGGATCGAGTTAAGGGATCACTTCAGCCCTTGAGCCGCAGGGGGAGGGGGAAGTGCAGAACAGAGCAACAGGGGCTAGATCCAGGCAAGCTGAGGGCCCCCAGGCCTGAGGTTCCCCACCCCGATATACAACTCTCCCCCCATGTTTCCGACCTCCTGCTCCCACTCCTGTAGATGTCCAGCGTCATTTTTCATTGCTGGATCCAAACACCTCAGCACAAGTTGGAGGGCTTGAAGAGAACAGTCTAAACACCGTGTGGCAAACCTCCGGCCGTGCCCTGTAGGGCCTGGGTTTCTCCAAGGCTCGCTGTGACCCTCCATGCAGCCTCTTGTCTTTTCTAGAGGCCAGTCACAGCTTACGGAGCCAGCCTCATCAAAGGGTCAAGCTGGGGACCCCTCTAATCTCGGCCTCCCTTTCCAGGATCAGACTTTCTAGTGGAGTGGGGAAGATTAGAGGGAAACCAGGGTTCCTCACTACCAGCTCCTAGGCCAGGGACAAAGTAGTGCAGCTGACAAGGTTTCCCTTTAGCCTTTTCCCTGGGCCACTCTCCTCCTACCTTCTCACCGGCAGTACCTGACCAAATCTCACCTCCTCCAGCACAAACACAGGTCTCCTCTCAGCTCTTCATTCTTCTCCCTTCCTATCCCCTACCTAAGGGGAAACTTCTCCAAGTAACCCAGCAGGTCTTAACTGGCTGCAGGTGCCTGATTAGCCTGCTGCTTCCCGCAGGCTCTTCATTGGCCTCAGGTGCCTGCTTGCCTCGATTACACAGCAACAGTCTCTGGGCAGTTGATTGAGGAAACAGAAAAGCATTCACCCGGCTCCCAGGACGTCTGTCCTCCACCCAACTACTGTAGGCAGCTGCCCTGGGTCTGTCAACAGGGAAAAGTGCCTGGCCTTGCTGCTCTACTTCTGTCCCTCCCTAAAAGTAACTGCTATTGGTAACAAATCTATTCAGTGCCCTGCAATGCCTCTGGAGCAGGCTACTTCAGTCTATAAAGTCTGAGATCAGTACTAGGCGCTCTGCAGAACGGTGAGCCTTTGACTCAATCAGAAGGGGACTTGTCTAGCCTGCAAACCTGCCCGGCTGGATGGAGTTGATTTGAAATCAGCTCACTCATTCCTCTGCAATGCTCCAAGTATCCCATCTTATTCAGTTCAGACTCTAAGCTCTGAGATCATCTTTGGGGCCCACGCCTTTCCTTGGAACAAAATGGTTATTCACCTAAGAAGCCAATGGCACCAGTGAAAATCCCAGCAGTCTTTTCTCTAGTGGTTGGAATTCTTACTAACCTGCTACCCTTGTAGCCCCTGGCAAGCATAGAGCCTGGGGTCTGGTTAAGAAGCTTCTTCCAGTGCTCATCCCCCTCTCCCCAAGCCTCAATGTTACTAAGGCTAGAATGTCCATTATTCTACTTAGCCAGCTATTTTCTAGCTCCCCCTCACCTCTCACCCTCTACAGATAGAATAGAGATAGAGATGGAGCCCTGTTAGTCTAGCTGACAAAAAACAGGACTAACAAGTTGGTTTATTAGGTGATGAGCTTTCGTGGGCCAGACCCCTTCCCTATTTTCTTCCACAATTTGATCTGAGGAAGTGGGTCTGGCCCACAAAAGCTAATCACCTAATAAACCATCTTGTTAGTCCTGTTTTTTGTTTCCTCTACAAATACTACTGGCCCTGCACTAAGCTATTGTGTAACCACCCCCAGCTGGATTTGAACTTGGGACCTGGGGACCTTAGTGTAGGAGCCTCCGTAACTTGAGCTATAAAGCCAGCTGGCTCTCAGCTGAGGCTGTAGCACCCACTTGTTCATATCCCTTGCTATCCATGGTCTGAGTGCCCCTCCACAGGACAGTAACGCACACTAGGGCTACGTCTACACTGGCATGATTTTGCGGAAGAGTTCTTGTGCAAAAACTCTTCCAGAAGAGAGCGTCTACACTGGCACGTGCTTTTGCACAAGAGCATCCATGCCAGCGTAGACACTCTTGTGCAAGAAAAGCTCTGATGGCCATTTTAACCATAGGGCTTTCTTGCACAAGAAATTCATGTTGACTGTCTACACTGGCCTCTTGCGCAAGAGGGCTCATTCCTGAGTGGGAGCATCATAGCGCAAGAAGCCCTGATTTCACACATTAGAACGTCCATGTTCTTACGCAAGGACTCAGGGCCAGTGTAGACAGGCAGCCACTTTTGCGCAAGATCGCGCCAATGGAGACACAGCCAAGGTGTGGGGGTTACAATTGCAATATTTTTCCTTCATGGTGCAGCATTGATGGAAATTATTCAGGATGTCAGAGGAGCAGCTGTTGTGAGTGGGTAAAATGAAGTCAGTAAAAAAACAGACCAGCAGCTATTCCTTACTGTACCCTCTTTCCAAGGCCTTGTCTACAGGATGGAATTACACCAGCTTAAATTGATTTAAAACACATTTTGTTACATCACTGCAAACGTGTTGCTGCTTAGCATAAAGCAGTTTCCTTATAGACTTAACTAAGCCTGCTGTAAATCCAAATAAGACCCGCCCCCATCTGTCACATCAGTTTAACAAAGTGGGATACAAAAATCTCTATTAAAAAAGTTTTACCTGTGGGACAAGAATGAGGAGATTACATCACTGTGTCCCACCTGCCTTCTCCTCTCCTCCCGCCCCCAGCTTGAGCCCGACCTGGCTGCTTCCCCTCGCCACCTGGAATTGCTATTTTAAACCAGTCTCCGACACCCCTTTCTCCACCCCACATGGCCTTCAGTGCCAAGAAACGCGGCACAGTAGCCAGCAGAGCCCACATGGCAGCCGAGATAGCGCCTGTCCCTGAGCACTGGCCCCTGAGCTAGGAGCGGGACTCCCAGCTGGGCTTATGTGCATTTACCGCAGCTTCCAGAGCACCCCGAGCTGCCTGGGGGAGCTGCCACACTGACCTGTTTGCTCCTTCCCTTTGGCTCCCTGGACTAGCAGTCGGCCCTGGACTCTACAGGCAGACCTAGGGCCGTGAGTGGTGCGGTGCGGGGCGGGGGGGGAGATCAGACTGTGGCTCCTGCGCTGCTGCTTTGCCCACCTCAGCAGGTTGCAATGCCCTGGAGCCATCACATGCACACAGCACTACCTGCACCTTGCTGTGCCGGGCAGGCACCCCTCTGTTTCACTGGCCCCCAGGGTAGCACAGGCCTGAGGCCTAGCTAACAGACAAAACAAGGCTAACAAAGCAAAGCTATGCTGTGAGCATGAGGCAGGCCCCTGTTCACAAAATTTGGCACAGAGCGCAAAATACTAATGGGTAATAGCCTCAGGTATAGAATAGTAATTGGTGCTAGGTACTGACTGCAGAACAACAACTGGTACTGGTCATAACTTGAGAGCACATGGTATTACCAGCTCATTAAAAAAGACCTTGGCGTACACTCCCCACAGATACAGAGCCAGGTTCAGGAAAGGGTCTAAAATGACAGCATGACGGGTAGAGATGATCTAATCAAACCACAAGGTACAGGGTGATGGGTGGTATCTAACAAGCCTCAGAAGGTGGCAACCGGACACATCAGCAGTGATGTGTAATTTGTTAGTACCTGTATTGGGAGGGGGGGGGCGAGAACAGTCTCTGGATGACCTAGGAGGCAATGGAAATTTCTCACTGATTGAGTGACTCCATTGTTACAGGGTACATGTGTGTAAGGTTCAGTATAGTCTACCGACCACTATGACTACAGGCAGTCCCCGGGTTACATGGATCCGACTTATGTTGGATCCCTACTTAAGAACGGGGTGAGGGAACCCCGAAGTAGCTGTGCCCCAGCAGACCAGGCTTTTCTCGCCGACACCTGGGGTAGAGCAGCTGGGGGGCTGCCGGGTTGGTCCCACAGCGCCGAGGTGCGGTGCTACTGGACCAACCCAGCAGCACCCCAGCTGCTCTGCCCCAGGCATGTCCGATTCAGTCGCTGTTGGTCAGTTTCAACACTGCGGAGCAAAGCTGCAGAGGACGCGGGCGGCGGGACCACGGCGCATGTGGGCGGTCCCACCGCCCGCGTCCTCCGTGGCAAGAAAAGCCGCTCTGCGTCTCCCTGGTCTGCTGGAGGGGGGGTGGGGCGCGCGCAGCTAGTGTCCCCCCCAGCAGACCAGGCTTTTCTCACCGCAGGGGACGCGGGCAGCGGGGACCAACCTAGCAGCACCCCAGCTGCTCTACCCCAGGTGTCCCCAAGTCAGCTGCTGCTGAAACTGATCAGCAGCTGATTCCAGGAAGCCCAGGGCAAAGCAGCTCTGCCTCGGGCTTCCTGTAGTCAGCCACTGGTCAGTTTCAGCAGCGGCTGAATCAGGGACACCTGGGGGAAAATATTTACCATTTCCGACTTACATACAAATTCAACTTAAGAACAAACCTACAGTCCCTATCTTGTACGTAACCCAGGGACTGCCTGTACTTCATTTAACAATAAATCTGGCTGTGCGCCTTCGATCCTTATGCAATGTGGTCTTTGGGGGCTCTCTCAGGTCTGCTGTGGAGATTGAGTGCCCAAGTCGACATGGCCCACATCACTAAGCACACACGCAAGCAGTCTTCTGGTTATCATCAGTGATGGAGCCAGGGACCTGTCCAGACATCTTGGCAGTAAATCCTGACCCCTCCTGACTAACTGCAGGAATAAATGGCAGGGGGAAGGGAAAAAGTATTTCTTCCCAGGTGTTATTCAAACCCCATAGTTCCATATTCTTTTGAGGAAAGTTTTCATTCCATAAGAAAGACAATTAGAATTGGCAAACTGATGCAAAATATTTATTCCAAGTTAGTTATTTTTGATGCAGTAGTTTTTCCCCCTCATACAGACTCAATGTGATAGTCACTTTTTTAAATCTGTAAATAATGTTATCAAAATAATCTTAATCTTTGAAATCTCACAAAAAATTTATATTTTACAATCCACCCTGAATATCAAGGCTGCAAGAAGAACACAAACAATTCCTATGTCCAAATATTTTACAGCTGTACCCATAAAAGAAAACCACAAACGCCTGGGTTAAGTGATGAAGCTCCCCGAGCCAGAAAAAAAAATTGATGTTATTTGCATTAATTTAACACAATTAGAACTTCAATATCCATTTTGTCATTGACAATGATTGTTTTAGCACATTGTTACCACGCAACATTATGTAATGCAGGCGGCATTATTAGAAGCTTGTTGCAAAGATCAGTCACCTGTATCCTGTTTACAAGACTGAATTTGTGCATTGCCTGACGAGGGATTTTCGTCACAAATTTGCGAGCTGCACAAACTTCTATTAAGCAGAAGGGCAAAACCAAAAGAAAAAGCTAAACAAGCCAATTTCTCTCTTCTTTGGGATACAATTATTTCCCTTGTGCATGAAGTATTCAACAACAAAAGAAAAACTGAACAGACTGGAGACAGAATAAACTCTGTTTAGTTTATACAACCCCAAACACATGTGGAACTATGAACTGAGTTTATTGGGTTGGTTTCATTTTTAAATGTTTTGTGCCCACTTTCAGGCATCATCATCTGATGTTTCACTGCTACTAGTTTCTGTGTCCGAGTCCTCAAACTCTGTCTTAAAAGTGCTTCTCCACTGGGAAAACAGGCTGGAGCTGCGGCTATGAAGAAATCCATTCTTCCCAAATCCATTTTTTCTTAGCTACAAACAAGAAAAACAGATTAGAAATGGTGGCGAGAAAGTCAGAGAACAGTGTACAATTACTTCAAATCGATGCAAAGCACTGACTAGAACTTGTGTAACTCAGAACAATCTAAACATGATATGCTGTGGAACCTGAGTGATAGGTGGGGAAGGATAGCTACCACCACTGTAAGAGCTGTAACATACCTGCTCTGACTTAACTTGGAACTCTTTGAGCTCATCCTCAGTGAGGGGAAGGTAGTTCTCATCATTTTCAGGATACTCCTGCCATCCCATTGCTTTCAATAACCTGATTCAGGAAAAAAGGGATTAAAAGGAGTCAAAAAGGCAAATGGAGAAGTCAGATTTAACCCAGTGCATGATAAGTTAAGATATTTTCTACTTCCCTCCAGGAAGAGTTGTATAGTTCTAGAAAACACTGTAAAATAATAATACTTTGCATTTAGATATTGCTTTTCAAACCTCAAATCTTCAAGATGCCTGTGATTTCAGAAAATACTAGTATTTTCCTTTCTGCTACACCTTCTATCAGCCCAGAAATCATAAAAAAACCCTTCACCCCTGCAGCTCAGAATATGCATGACTACTGCTTTCTGGAGAAGAGAATTTTCTTCTAAGCAGCTGCCCTTTCCTCACACAATGTGATAATATGATTCATATGATAATATGATCCAGTCCTATGATTCTATGAGACATCCCCACCCTCATTAGTCCACGTTCAGCTCTCTCCTCACCTGTGTTCTGCTTCCAGTGAATGAGATAGGTTCTCCCCCTCCTCCATCAAAGGGAGAGAAAGGCCATTCTGATGGCAATTCTCTTCCCAGTTTTCCTTTGGTTCTGGTGTGCTGCTGCCTTCCATCTAAAGGAAAAAACCTAAGTCGAGTCACATCCCCGAGACAGTGATTGCTTCATACACAGAGCACAGTTAAAGTCTTGAAAACTAGTGTTCCTGGTGGATGACTTGAGAGAATAAAACTCCTCCCTCGAGTCAATGTTGCAGAGTAATAGTCACCACCAGACATTGGTGAGGGGGTATATGCAAAGTGAGTTTGGTGGGCTCTAGTTTATTTTTAAGGACAAAAGTCCACATCACAATACCACCATTCTGGATTCAAAGACACCTAAGACTGTATGAGCCATGGAGACGGACCTCTGGCCATAGAGATGTCCTTCTACACCAGAAGAAACACTGGTAGAGCAAGGCACCTGCCTTCGTTTGTGCAGGGCCTGTTCAATTTGCCAAATTTGTCATGCTTGCACTTCTCCCAGGACTAAATTTAAATTAATCCCTCTGGGACCAGTGTCTGTCTTATCAAAGTGCAGTTCGTTAAACTGAATGTAATTGCAAGAAGTGTTTTAACTATGCTATGAGAGCTAAGTTACATACATGGGAGATTTCAGTCCTGCAGTGATATTTAAAGAGTAAGCATTCTGATGAAATATTGTTCCTTCCTGTTCTTTAGAAAGCCCTCCTAAAATCCTGCCAATTCTTACCAAGCCTTGCCCTTTTCCCTTTACCTGTATTTTAATTTTCCTTCTGTATTTCTTTAGGTTATGGTTTTTCTTTGTATGTCTGATGTCATATCAATAGAGAGAGTGCACAGAATGAAACAAACTAACACTCGTTAATTACACCTGCAGAATATCTAGCAAAGACAACATGAAAGCTCAGAATTGTGTGTGTTTAGGTCCTACAATAACAGTTACTTCCCTAATCCCATTCTGGAGAGGAGTTTTTCCTAGGGAAAACTCCTCTCCAGAATGGGATTAGGGAAGTAACTGTTATTGTAGGACCTAAACACAAACAGTTCTGAGCTCTCATGTTGTCTCTGCTAGATATTCTGCAGGTGTAATTAATGAGCGCTAGTTTGCATGTCTGCTTACTCTTTAAATATCACTGCAGGAGCTACACCTGGAGCAGGATAGCGAGTATCCCCTTTATCAACTAACCGACTATTCAATTAGTTGATTTAATCAAAATTTAACACCCCTAATAATACACAATTCCCAGGAAAGAAAAGCAGGCAGTCCTCTTACATCCTCCAACTTGTCACATTCTCTGTTCTCTGTGATCTCTCCATTCCTATCATCTTTCAGCGCCTTCAGGAATTCACTTTTCTTATCGGCGGTGCGACGCATCAGCTTAGTCAGGCGTGAAGAACTGATCTCAATGGGAGGGGTGGTGCTGGAAGGACTCTGGAGAAGAAAGGAGGAACATATTAGTGAACTTACCTAAAGAAGAAAAGCTGCGTCTCAGCCCTGTTCAAGGCTTGCATCCACACTTTTTAGTACTTGATCTCCTTAGCTGACTGGCAATTTCCTATGCATACTTATTTCCACCAACGTTCTTGGCTGCACTGTTCAAATCCACTTGCTTTCTCTTCACCAAGCTGGAAAGAATGTCTCCAACCCATTGTTGCTGCAACTGTTTCTTCATCTCCATTAATTTAGGCAGTCATGAATTTAACATGCTTGTCCTATTCCTCACATGCTAGGATTCCTGGTAACATGAGCTACTCAGAGGCTCCCTGCTGGGTTAATTTCATCTCTGCTCTTTAAATCATCCAGGAATACTCTGCTGATTCCTGCTTATTAACAAAATCTCACCCCCCCCAACTCTTGTTCTCCATGCCAAATAAAATGTCTATCCAATTCAGTTAGACAAAACTGATTGCCTATGGTCTTCAGTAATAATTACAACATGGCGGTATGCAACAACATGGCATCTAGCTTTCAATGTACTGGTCTCATTTTTATAGGTGGGATTTACAATCAAAATAAACTGGGGTTTTAGTCCTCCTGACTTCCCTTCTGCCCTAAGTATTTATCTGTGGCATTTGTGACTCTTGGTCTTTGCAGAAGACAGAAATACTACTCATTAGTCTTGCCCAGAGGTGGGTAATAATTTGTGACAGAGGGCCCACTCCTAAGAATTTGGTACGTGGTTGAGGGCGACACGCTTTCATATTAATGGAGGAGGTGCGGGGTCTGGGATGGAGGTTGGGTGCAGAAGGGAGGTTGGGTGCAGGAGGCAGTTGTGACCTGGGGCACTGGACTGGGATGCAGGAGGTTGGACTGTGACCTAGGACAGGGAATTGGGTTGTGAGCTAGGGCAGGAGGAGATTGATCTGGGACTGGGGTGCCAGATCTGGGAGGTGATATGGATACAGAAGGGGGACAGAGGATTTGGGCATGTGGAGTAGGGGGCAGCGGGTTGGGGAAAGGAAGGACTGGGGTGCTAGAGGCAGGCTCTGGCCAGGAGACTTACCAGCCAGCAGCCATTCCCAAATCAGCCTCCCTGCCTGACCCACCCCTGCACAGGCTGCAGCCATGTGCTCTGGAGGCCCTCCTTAGTGCTTTGTGGCTGGCTGTTTTTGTAACAGGCAGCACCCACTGGCCAGTTTCTGGCCAGAAACCGGGCAATGGGATTGTGCTAGGGATGGGAGCAGCTCCTAAAGCTTTCCCCCCTCCTCTCTGCACTCTCAGTTTTTAAAGAAAAACTGACTTGCAGCCAGATCCGGTGGCTAGGCGGGCCACATCGGGCCCATGGGCCATATTTTGCTCAGGCCAGGTCTTAACCCTCCACTGAAAGGAGAGGTCACGACACTAATTTGGAATCACATAAAACAATCCTTTTCTTCCTTTCAAAGTTTATAGAAAGCAAGTAAAAAAATATCAAAGCTTGTAAAAGAACAAAACAAGTGGATATTCAAATAGTTCCTCATTGCAAGAACCATTTCAGATTTTATTCTTGGAGCTGAAGTGTTGTCTGCAGGTACAATCCTTAGGATGCCAAAGAAAATTTACTTTGCAAAGTATGCTTATGGTATAGCATACAATCCCTATGAGCAGAAAAAGAGGCAAAGAAAAGGGATCTCGAAACATTCAGCTGCTTGGAGTCCTTATTCTTACATGACACGTAATGCTAACCTCTCCTGAAGTGTGCACTATGAACACTACCATTTGCCAGGTTATTTCAGACATCAAGTACAGCTCTGGGAAGACCAAGTCTGTGACTGTGAAACTTCCGTAGCCAACATGAGTGACTATCAGGATAAAAGAAATAACAGTAGTATTTCAAACTGCAGCATGATCATTAGTTTGACTGTACAAGTGACAAAGTAACTGACTGAACAGAAGAGACAGGGCAGGCTGGAAATGGGTGACAGAGGGTGGATTACTTGATTCCCTGTTCTGTTCATTCCCTCATGGGCACCTGGCATTGGCCACTGTCAGAAGTCTGTGGCTGTTCTTATGTTCCTACGGACTGAAAGTTGACATTTCTAGTAGCCTGGAATACCCATTTAACAAGATGGCCAATAAAACACTCTTGAGTTTCATGCTAGAGCAGCCCCTTTCAAAGACACTTACACAGAAATGGTAAGCTATCAAGAGATGATATTTACAAATTTTAAGGCATAAGAAAGATAGCTACAAGTGACAAATTCCCCATTTTACTTTAATTACACAAAGCTTTCAACAGATACATAATAAAACACAAGTGAGTGCACAAGGCTTATTGATTTATTTTACAACCAACCCCCACGTTGTTGTTCTTAGGCAGAAAGAAAAAAGAACCTGTAGCAGTCTCAACCTCCACGGAGCTCTTGTATGAGGGAGCTAGGCATGATAACAATGACACGTTCAGTTTCAGTACTTGCCGATAAGATTGTAAAATTTTCTCTCAGGGAAAAAACCAGTGGAAGAGCCATCCCTTAGGCTTTTATAAAGGAGACTACATAGAGTACTAAAAGTACACTTGTAGGGAAGAATCTTACAGGAATCCTCAGGGAGATCTAGGAGGACTTCTAATTCCCAGTACTTTATAGTCATGTCGGGGCTCTACTTGCCATTATACAGTCAGAACGAGGGAGTGCTTACATTACTTTTCCCAGCTCAGGGGCAGAGTCCTGGGTTCCAGTCCTGGGTTTAGACCAATTCTCAAACAATTAACTTTTTCATAAGCAAGTGAAAAACCTCTAGCCGTTAAAGCTGCAAATGCTCATCTGTTGCTTAGAAGAATTTAAATAATTTCCAGTTTAAGTGGCATTAGCTCCTGACATTATGGGAACACAGGACAGAAAAACTTTCAGATTAGCTTTATTAATTTACTAACTACTCAGATAAGGCTGACGGAAGTTCAACAGAGTGGAACCAAATATACTTGGTCTCCGCAGAAAGACTGAATTACAGGCTCTCTCCTAAGTTTCAAGTTAAATCGTATGTCTTTGCTGACCAAAGATAGTGCAAGTACTGCTTAGGACAACACATTACCAAGCTATACATAGTACTTATTGTACTGGATAACAAGTGCATTTAAATTTGTTTTGGTATTACTTACCTGAAGGTGGAAGCTTAATCTGAATTATGTATTTATGTTCCAGTAGTGCCCAAAGTGTACTAGGTGTTGTACAGACATAAGGGAAAACAAAGCCCCTACCCCAATGGGCTTACAATCTAAAACAACAAAGACGCAGGATGAGGGGAAAGAATACAACATAAAAGCAAAGTTGTCAAGAAGATGACTGCCAATTGTGTTATTCCCCAGGATTTAAATGAGAACTACTCATTTATATACCATTATTGCCCCTCACAATCAAAAGAATACCCCATTATCTTACACTCAAAGCACAGAGCACGGATAGTCAATAGGTGGTCCACAGGTCAAATATGGACCACCCAACACTTTTGAATATGCTGCCTAATCTTTTTATTTACTTACTACCATCATTATTATTGTGGTGTGAAAAACTGGATCTTGACCAAGAAATATGGACCTTGACTAAAAAATAACTGATTATACCAGACACAGGAGCTCAAAAATGGTGTAAGTTCATAACAGTAATATCTATACATCATCTTCAAGATCCACAAAGATGACCAAACTTTTCCAGGAATACGTCTTACCTCAATAAAAAAGGGTTAAGATACACAGCAACCTCCTATGCAAAAGATTCTCAGTTTTGTTTTTAGCAACATTTCTGCCAAATGTGCAGACAGCATTTACCTCTGGCTGAGTAAACACACCACCATTGTTTATTAAAACGATAGTGTCAAGACAGGACATGTCTAATTTCTCCCCCCTTACCAGTATTGCTAACACCATTCCAGATTATTTAAACTGATGAAAAATGTAAAGATATAGAAAATCATGGCCAAGCAGTGATTAGCAATTGAGAGTGCTGGTGCACAACTTAACACCTTAAAGAGAGCAGATTTTGAGGAACAGGAACTTGGCAGTCTAATGATCAAGCTCCTTTTAGGTATCAGACTACCCAAACATGGAGGGACTTCTTCATTTCTTAAAATCTTGTGTATAATTTATATTGTACCCTTTGGTACCGGACTCAGTTTGAACACAATTTGTTTTTCTGGTTTTTACACTAACTCAATGTCATTGTGTTGTGTTTCCCAATGGTGCAGGGGAAAATTTAATATAAAATTGTCTTAAAATTCACCGAAATGCCTTTATTAAGGTCTGCAAGCTAGCTTTAACCCAAACCTAGCATTTTGGAGGTAACTACTCAGAAGAGTCCTTTTTAGAGTCACATCATCTATACAAATAAAGGGCAGAAGATTCTACCATGACTAGATGTCCAAAACGCTAGTAAATTTCAAGTCTAAAGAATTTTTCAAATACTCCAAAAACTATAAAAACAATCTTGTTAGATGAACCGTGGGGCATATGTTCTCCATCATCAACAATCACAAACAAATGGCCGAAGAGGAACAACACACACATCTGTATCTCTCAAACCTTATGAATTGTTCCCAAACCTCACCACATGCGCTGCTAGGAAAGCGTTGTGAGCTAGAAGAGCAAGAACACAAGACAACCAGGCACCCTATTTTAAAGAGTGGCATGGAATTCAGGTAATCTGCCCCAGATGGTGTAAACTCTGGTGTGCACTCGAATGCCATGCACTAATCAAGCATGTCTCCACAAGCATGGAGGAGGGAGCAGAGAGGGAGGTGCCTCCTGATCTGCCTCCTCTTGCTGTGCCTCAGCCATTGCTGCTGCCAGAGCTGAGCCACCGTGAACAGCCGGTTTGAGCTCCAGCAGGCACCGTGGCCCAGCAGCCAGTGAGTTGTGGACAAGGCATCTGGGAACTGCTGAACTAGGCCATTCCTAACAGGCAATTTTGTCTAATTTGCTCTTACCTCCAATGACATTGCTCTAAGAGTCCCCCATTTTAAACTCTCCAGAAACGTATGCCTATAGGCAGGGCTCGCTGAACCGTGGCGAGCCCCGCCCACCGGCCGCGCTGTCCGGCAATCTGCGCATACACAATCGTTCTGCGCATGCGCAGATTGCCCGAACCCGGCTCTTCCAGGTTGCAATCTACTTGCCACGGGCGAGTAGATTGTATTATTTGTCAAGCCCTGCCTATAGGGAACTTCTAGCGTGTGCCAGCAGGGTCCACATGACCTAGTGAGTGTGTGACACTAGAATTTGCATTTCCCACCCCTCAAATATGGACTTAAGCCATTGTGCTCAACACTCTAGCCAGTAGCCACATGTAGCTCTTTGGCCGGTTGAGTGTGGCTACAGCGGTAGTCACTACAGTGGCTACTATTTCAGAACTGGTTAGGACAACACGGAACTAAAGCTTATCGTTCGGACGTTGTTTCTATACTCAGTTCCCATAGTGCTATTAAAATGGCAAAGCAACCATACCTTGTACGCTAGCGGTGAAATCACAGCACATCTGGCCCAAACCTGCTGGCAGCACACTTCATGTTAAGGAAGCCAGACTTCCAAGAGCATTCCCATTCATGTACTAGGGGACTTAGCTCAAAACGCAAAGACAATACAAGTGATTGAGTACTCTTCAAGTGTTCAGAGCTGTATAATACGAATAGAAAAGCTCTCATGGTATGTAAACTATAAAGCAACATTGGCTGGAAAAGGTCCGATCCTATTCCCAACCCAACCCCTTACCTCTTTGGGAGAGGTGAGAACTGAGCCACTCGCCAGTACCGCTGGTTTGGTTACAGACACCGGACTGGTAAAGGCAGAGTCACGGCTGGAGGAAAGTGAGCCAGGTTTATGTTCACTTCTGTTAGCTTTCCACGGACTTGGCTATATTGAAGAGAACACAACACACTAGGACATAATGGTATGGCACAAGAATGGACTGTTTGCAAGCAATAAAAATAATAAAGCAACAAATTGACTTAACGAGATGGGAACACTCCAAGTGGTCTCAAATCCCTCTCCAATCTTAATGCCCATTTCAGTTCCGTTTAACCACTCAACCCACAACAATGTCTAGCAGCTTCACAGCTATCACCTTCACCCCAGCAAAGGACTGTCTGGAACTACTATGAGCAATTACACATGCCTTCATAGTTGGAGGAATCACCATTGAGAGATGCAAAGTATCCCACAACTGCTCCCAGCACAGTAAGTGAGAGGCCTTAATACAATTCAAATGTCTTACTCAGTGCTAAATACCACCACCAAATATCTCAACAGGAGCTTCCTCTGGCCAAAGGGAAAAAGCTCTAAGCCATGAACAGAAGACAGGAACTCCCCAAGGCTCCAAGAAAGATTCTCCTAATGTCTATGGAAAGGTAGAGGAACAAAAACCATTTTATTGTACCCTGCAATTTAATAGGATACAGAAGTCCACAGATGTACTAAAACTCCAGACATGAAGCCCCAAAATGTATCCAACGAGAAGCCAGATTACTGAAGTAAAGAAGCACATAAAGCAGCACATTTTCTAAGACAACTCACTCATAAGAAAATAGGAACAGCCATACTATGTCAGACCAAGCGTCCATCTACCTAATATCTGGTCTTTCCATAGTGGCCAGTGTCAGGTGATCCAGAAGAAATGAACAGAACATGGAATCACCAAGTGATTTCCAGCTTCTGGCAAACCGAGGCTAAGGACACCACCCCTGCCCATCCCGGTTAGGGATGTTCAAGTGTAAACGACTAATAATTTAACCAGTAAGTGGATGTCTATTGGTTAATGGTATCTGTTGCACTTGGCAAAGCTGCATCCCCAGGAGCCAGGGGTTGGTGGCCTGGCTCTCAGAGAGACTTTGCTGTGGATACTGCAGTATAAAGCTATGCTTAAATTTATACTGCAGAGCCCGCAGTGCAGGTAACTGCAGCCAATGAGATTTTCAGTAATTACAGTTACCTTGTTACATGAGTTCTAACATCCCTAATCCTGGTAAACAGTCACAGATGGACAACCTATCTATCCTCCATGAACCTTTTAGAACCTTGTTTTTTAGTCTTGGCCTTCACAATATCCTCTGGTAAAGAGTTCCACAGGCTGACTGTGCACAGAGTGAAAAAAGTACTTCCTTTGGTTTCCCTACTCAGCATAGGGAAACTTCACTCCCCTATCAGCCTACCTCTGCATCTATTATTTGGTGGTCAAGCAATAACTGCAGCTGCAAAAAGCTGCCTCACGATAAATGTCTTCTACCTGGAAAAATATTATCTTGGACAGCTCAGCCAAGAAGGACAAACTGTGCAACAATCCCAAAAATGAGATGTATGGCACCAAGCAGCACAGGAAGAAGACAGAAGGGGAACTTTTTACGTTTTAAACCTTCACTTTAACAATTTGAATTTCTGATGCCAGTTTACTACAGATGCTAAACAAGTCATCTCATCCAGGGTGTATCTGGGATTTAAACTTAATGGGAATCTAAAAGAGATAACATACTTTGCAGAAAAAGACTGCAGAGGCCAGTTTCTCTGTATTTTCCTGTGTGCGCGTGTGCAGGTTTCTTCCTTCCTATATTTTGCTGACTTTTACCTCGCTCTCCCCACTGAAATTCTAATCCCCTTCTCCAGTCCCCACTCATGGGTCATGCTGCTGGAGGTAGATAGCCTTTGACTTTTCACTGGAAGCAGAGGGGAGAGCCACAGGAGGAGAGAATCCTGGGCTGGCACATGGATGCCCACAGCCCTACGCATTAAATATCCAGCTACATTAGCAGCAATATGAAGAGCAGGGAAGAGATTTTTCAAGGACCTACCAGTAGATTTATTTGCAATGCAGCAGTATGCTTGCAGAGAGTCAGAGGAAGCTGCATCAACCTGAGGTCCTGCACCTTTCCTCTCACACTGATGGGATTTTCTGGCTTCTGCTCCCCCATCTGATGCCTGTCCTAGTCTGATGCCTGTCTGATACCTAGTCTGATGCCTGGTCCTATCGGTTAGAAAATGGATTTATGATTTAGACTGTAAACATCCCAGGGTGGAGATTGTGCCTATATCACTGTACACGGAATTTACAGTAACATCTTGAATAGGAACCTTGGACAATGGCAGTCACCTTAAAATGCCAATTTTTGCTCAAGAACCTACAGGCACAATTATCCAGTTAGTATTGAATATGAGGAGTTTCTGTAGGGACGACTGTAAGCAGATTTATAATCATGCAGTACACTCATCCGCCATCTCTCCCCCCACCCTTGGTGAAATGGATTTCCACCTTTCACCGATTATATTTCTAATGAAGTTCCTCTCCTTAAACCCCACAAAACAAAACAAATTGCTACAGCACCCCACTGGTGTTAAGCCTGAGGCACAACACTACATGTGCGTGTTCGTGTATAAGCTGCTGGACAGCAACCACGTTTTTGTTGTGTGTTTGTACAGCACCTAGCACAATGAAACGTCCTAGTGTACACCACGATGCAGGCATTATAGCAATACAAATACTTGGAAGGCTCACTGACACTGTGGCCCATTGGTGCCAATGGGTTCATTATTGTTTAAGCAACTACTGTCTCAGGTGTTGTGAATTTGTTAGATCTAATACACCACTGTCACAGTATTTATTCATGAAGAGTAGCACAGGAAGTCTTACTAAAGTTCTGAACTTATCAATACTCACTGTAAAGTGTGTGTATAGGTACTATTTATTAAAACCTGCATCTTATGGTCTTGGTTTAACAGCTCGTCACCAGAGAATTGTATGCCTGTGATAGCAGGAGAATCTCCTGCAGCAGCTCAGCCACCATAGCTGGTGGGGGATTCCTCCACCCTCTGTCAGCTCCCAAGCCTACAGGGTGGTAGGACAACACCCCTCCCTGCTCTCAGCAACAGGGAAAACCGCAACAGTTCTTGACACCGCATGCAGTGGGGCAGGATGCTTGGCCCTCCTCCCTCCCCATTTTGTCAGATGTTTTTAGTGAGTCAGGGACAGGTCATGGCTTCCTGAACGCTTGTTTGTTCTTATGTACAGGTCATGGACAATGGTCAGACTGGGTCAAGCCAAAGGTCCATCTAGCCCAGTATCCTGTCTTCCAACAGGGGCCAAAACCGGGTGCCCCAGAACGAATCATCAAGTGACCCCTGCGACGCCATCTATTCCCAGCTTCTGACAAGCAGAGGCTATGGACACCAGAGGCTAATAGCCACTGATGGACCTATCCTCCATAAATTTCTCACTCTTTTTTGAACCCTGTTAAAGTCCTGGTCTTCTGGCAAGTTCCACAGGTTGTCTGTGCATTGCGTGAAGAAATACTTGCTTTTGTTATAAATCTGCTACCTATTAGTTTCATTGAGTGACCCCTAGTTCTTGTGTTATGGAAGCAAGTAAATAACTAATCCTTATTTACGTTCTCCATACCGATTATGATTTTAGAGACCTCTATCATATTCCTCCCCTCACCTTAGTCTCCTCTTTTTTTTCTTGCTTTTTTTTTTTTTTTTTAAGTGAAAAGTCCCAGTCTTTTTTAATCTGTCCTCAGGACTTTAGTAAAAATATCCATGACTAAATCGTAGTCTCAGCAATGTCCCACATTCAAGCAGTTGTTGTCCTCATCCCTCCCTGGTCAGCTGGTGATGTAATGCAAGGTTCAACTGTCTACCTTTGCCCCATCTCAGAACAGCTGCAAGACTATCAGAGCCAACTGCAAACAATCAAAACCACTTGGAGGTAAAAAGGAACAGTGTAATAAAAGGGATCACTAAGACTGTGAATAAAGAAAAGAGTTTCAGTGCAACAGACATCTTTTTGAATGGGGTATGTTAAGTGAAAGATTGAACAGTGGTTCCTGGAAAGCCAGCCAGCTCTTCAATAAACAATTTTTTTTTTGGGAGGGGGAGGGGGGGGGAAGAGAAGGGTGACCACTCTATACTTTGTTGCATAGGAAAGGTAACTATGGAGTTTAGGCCCTAGTTTGCATTTTATGATTGTTTCATATTTTAACCATTAGTTTCCATCACACGCTCCATTCGAGTGGAATTTCTTTACTCTCATACTAAACTAAAAGGTTTATATGAATGCTCAGTGCTACATGTTAAACAGGCGCTGTGATTTAAGGTAAAACTGGTAAATAAGTACACTATTCTTTAGGGAGCAGAGAACCTGGAATTTCTGTCAATAGCCAGCATCGGGGCTGGAGTGCACACTGTTATCCTGCAAAGCAAAGACAGGACTTCTCTAACTTGGAGAGTGTTTACCCAGTGATGTTTACCAATTAACCAGAGGCTGCTCCAGCTTGACTACACCTGTGGTAACAAGGTGACTCAGTGAGGGGCACACCAAGAAACTCATCTTTTCATCATTCTGCACTGATTACTATGGCCATCCCCTCATGAGACAGGGTGCTCAGAGGCTGCTAATAATTATCCATATGGCTTCCATCAAGGAGTAGTTCAGGTGAAAGTATTTGAACTCCCTCCCAGACTCCATCACAGGGCAGATTCCCCTCCTACACTCAAACTCCCTCCCAGATCCTGCACTCCATTCCCTGTGTAACAAAAATGTATATTTTAGTGTTGGTTAGTATTGGGTATAAGACTATAAGTATGATGCATAATAATTTCATGTATAATGACTTGCTTATAAGTTCAGTATGCTTCTATCTTTCTCTCTCTCATATATGATTAGATAATGTTTACTGTAAGGCCTTGCTTCCTGTTAATTTGTAATGCTAAATTGTACCTCATGTCTGCATCACAAACTAAGTTGTCTTCTAGTAACTACTGATCTTGTCTGAAACTCTGTACAATTATGTGGTGTGAGTGGAGGGTGTGTACGAGTCTGAAAGTCATCACAGATGCCCAGGTGATCAAGAAGTGGAAACTTTGAAGATAACGAGGAAACATGCATTGTGTCTTGAGGCTGAATTAAACTGGCAGCATTGACAACCCTGAAGACAGGCACAGACCCTCTCAAGAATGAGACAAGGCTGGGTAGCCTGATAATCCCCAAAGGATAATTCCCAAAAACCCATGGGACTCTGGGTTCAGTCCTGCAAGCCAAGTCTCTGAGGAGTCTCAGAAGAACCCTGACTCCTCACTCAGCCGGCCTGGCCTGTAAGACTGACTAGAGCCCCCACTGACTGGTAACTATGCACCATCTGCAGGACGTTCGTGTGCCTTTATAAAACATATGCCAACTGCTTCTCTACTGTATGCTCAATAAACACAGTGTGTTGCCTTTTCCCTTGAAAAAGATCCCCTGTGCTTCTTACAAGCATAACACCTGCCTGGGGCCCCCTCTGCACCCCATCCAAACCTGTCCCTCCCCACCTCCATTCATATAATAGAAAAGTACAACCTGTGACCACTTACCAACATTCTTCAAGTGGCATCCCTGCAAGAAGTACTGCTCACGAACCATCACGCACTGACAAAAGGGGTTTTTGCCATCACTCCAGGAACTCTCTCCCCCGGAGCAGTTGGTCAGTCTACCTCACCATGTCTACCCTATGGGTTAGGTTGGCATAGCTGCAGTGCTCAGGGATGTAAATTTTTCACTCCCCTGAGCAATGTAGTTATGTTAAGCTAAATTTTTAAGGTAGACCAGGCCTAACTCAATTTGACCTTGGGAAATTCATTTATCTGTCTCTTATCCACCTGAGAAATAGGAACTGTGGCACTCCTTGCCAGGCGATGTTGAAGGCCAAAACTATACTGGGATTCAAATCAGAATTCACTAAGTTAATGAAGGATAGGTCCATCAATGTCTATTTGCAAAGACAGTCAAGGATGTCTGGGTGTCCCTGGTCTCTGACCACCAGAAACTGGGAATGGATCACTTGACAACTGCCTGGTCTGTTAATTTTCCTCTTAAAAGAACCTGGCACTTGCCACTGCAGGAAGACAGAAGACTGAACTAGATGGATCACTGGTACATCGTTAGGGCCCATTATGGCTGTTCTTACCTTGCAATCAAATCCTTTCAGTGCCTGAAGAATGTTTTCCCACCATGTAGCACTGCCAAATGATTTTTCATTCAGTTGTGCCAGTGGTAGCTTTTCTAGTTCTACAGTTCTACAGAGTCCTATGACTATCATGTACCCACTCACACTGCTGCACAAAAATCAATTACCGAACAGGTTATAACCACTGTTCTTTGAGATGTGTTGCAGACAACCACTCCATTCTTGGGGTCAGTGTGCTCAGCACACTGTGCGAAACTTTTCCACATCTCAGTACCTATGGGGTGACAAACTCCCCCTGTGCCTCTGTGCAGGTATAAAGGGCAGAGCAGTCCCCAGGGCCCTCAGTTCCTTCTTGTCAGAGCTCCAATGCTGAGGGGCAGAAGGTGGTGGGTTACAGAAAGGAGCCCTGCACGGGAAATAAAATATGTACGTGCATATGATCCACAAAAATGATCTGTGGCTATAAAGCAGATATGCCCAGATTTGCATGGCTTTAGATATAAAATCTGGTTTGGCATCCACCCACAAACTGCAGAAATGGTCTGCAGATATCCAGAGACTTGTAGGGGCACTAGTAATTGGGGAAAACAAAGTGACTATCCACTTCAGAGTGAAAGACTGGTGAAAGATGGGAAAATTTTCATTTAGAGAGATCAATAACTTTTATACAAGGCCTGCTATTAATTGGCAGAATCTCTGAAGTCTTTTGATGAGAACTGCTCCCTAGCCCAGTCATGAAGCACCTATGCAGTTGAATGAAGGACTGTAGGCTCTGGCAGAGTGGGCAACTGTGACCCTAACATAGTGGTTTTCTGACTTTTTAGGGTGCTTTCCAAATAATGTAGTCTACTGCATGCTCCCATCTGAGATAGGCAGAAGTGACACATGGGCAGCACATGGGGGGATGGGGGTGCACATACAGGGTCACTGAACTTCTCGAGTCAGAGATCCTCTTTTACATACATTTATATAATGCATAATTTCTGGGCTCTAATTCCTCAGCCTAGGATCTGGATGCATTACCACCATAGAATAGTAAAGGAATAAGGAAGGGGATGTACTAGTAGTCAATTATCCCATATTTTCAGCCACAGAAGACAATTTAGGCACAAAACTGCCCTTGGAATCCAGTCCACAACCACCCTGCCAGGACCCTCAGGCAGGGAGCAGTCCCAGGGCTCAAAGGGAGAGGGGGAAGGCTTTGCATGCTGCCCCTCAGTCCAATCTCAGTTCCCATTGGCTGGTTCTGGCCAATGGGAGCTGAGAAATTATGCTGGGGGAGCCAACAGAAATCAGCCAATGGCAGGTAAGAGATTGTGCTGGAGGCAAAGTTAGTGCCCCCACCACCACCACAGAGAGGCATATGGAGTTGCTGGGCTACTGACTGGGAGCCACCTAAGTAAACGGCTCCTGGCCAAATCCTGTCTCTGGCACCCCAACCCTCAACCCATACACCTTCCCAGATACTGCAGCTTAATCCCTTGCCCCAGGTCACAATCCCCTCCCTCTTTCACCCAAACTTCCTCTCAGACCCCACATCTTCTCCTGCCCCCAGCTGCTTACCCTGATCTCCCTTCTGCACCCAACCTCCACCATAGACTCTACATTCCCTCCACAGAAAAAAGTGCAGCCACTGATCACTTAAAATCTTGGAGTGACTCCCCATCAAAAATTATTGCCCACCCCTGATATCAGGCTCTCTTTCATGAGGATCAAAACACTAACAAAACCCACAGGCTGGGTTTTTCAAGTGTCAAAGGGACTTAAGTGTTCAAACCTATTGACATTCTTTGGGATTTGAGCCCCTAACTCCATTAAGCCCCTTTGAAAATCCAACTATAAAATCTATTTTCTAGGCAAAGTAAAAACAAACGCAGCATCTAGATAAACATTCAGACAGCGAGCCCGTTTCAACTGTGCAACAGTTTCATAGGAAAAAGACATCACTTAGATCACACTCTGGGGAAGGAGGGCGGGGAAATTAGACAATTAGCTTTTCATCTTCAATATCGACGGTCTATGCAATAATGCACTACTACATGATGCAGTCATATTTATATGTGCTTACTCCGTTACAGGGAAAAAATATTTCTACTGCATGGTTTACAAACAATAAACAGCACTGTAACTTGCAAACCCCACAATATATATTGCGTGCACACAGTGCTAACAGTTACAGGTTTCTGCTTTAAATAAAAGATGACTGTGCAGCAAAGCAGCAACACAATCTAGTTGTTAAAAAAGCTCTGAAGCAAAAGACTAAATAGCTAGAACCTGTTCAATAGACCAAGACATTTCAGCTACATATAAGGCACCTGACCATATCCATACGTCACAACCTGCAAAACTGAAAAGTAGCAACAGGATGCTCTCTGCACATCAGAAACTGCATCTTGTTTGAACTGTCTTGACAGTTCAACATGTGGGCTGCCTGGCTAATAATTTCTGATTCTACAGGTAAAGAATTCTTGACAAATGGCATTTTATGAAGAGTTGCGATTTTTACCAAGTCCACATGTCAGGTGAGCACTCATGTGCTACTCAGAAACAAGCCCTTAGACTAGAATTTTGTAAAAATTAAAAGTGACCGTCATTCTAACCACGTAGGCTCTCTGCTGCCTGTGGGAGAAAAGGGATCAGCTGAATTTTATATTGCAGCTGGTCTCTGAAGATACAAAAATAAAATGGGACTTTTCTCAACCAAGACCGATAATCTTAAAGGATTTTTATTCCAAGTGTTTATGAAGCATTTGAATGAATGATGCTCTCTCCGCCCCTCCCCATCAAAACAAATCTCTAAAAATTATGAATAAAAATAATTTCTATTATTAGGTTTAACATCTTTGATACTACTTGGAATGTCAGAATCCTACAAGTTCCTACAAGTTCCCCATGCACTTCTACACCAGCGTTCAGAAAAAAACAGAGCTAGACAAGACCTTAACCTAACATGAAAAAAAATTCAAGCAAAAAAATGAAAACTTGGGGGAAAAACCCACTTAATCTCTTTGTGTGTAGCATAAAGAAGCTAAATGGCAAAATCTTGTATTTCTTTTATAGAGCACCTCTAAGGCTTCACTAATACGCTAAAGGATCATCTTACAACATGGCAGTCTGGTCTCCAAAAAGACTGGTCCAAATATTTTGATTATGTTAATGAATCGTGTTACAACTTTACACAGATTTACAAGACTGCATTATGAACAATTTAATCACTCTGCTTCGTTACTAGTACCTCTCGCCATCTGTGCGTTTTTCATAATTTAGATAAGACAAGGACCCTATTATGTCCTTGTGCCCACGCCATTTCCAAGTCACTAGAATGGTTACAACATAGGTTAGTCTCTCAAAGATAACAACAAGGTGTGTTTTAGTATTGTAATAATACTATAACAACATAATCCAGACCCCATAGTTTTAGTGGCAGACAGGTCAACTAAAAATTATGATTCAAGTTCAGTTGTTTTATTTTTTCATTTTCACTACACTTTAATCTTTCTGTAGATTGTGTGACCATTTCTACATACAGAAGAGAATGCCCCCTCACTACAGTTTAGTAACTCAACTGGAAGCCCTTGTACCTTAGAAGGAGGTGCTGCAGGTTTAGGAACCAGATTTTTGTAGACACTTGGGACAATTGTGGTGGTCTTGTTGCCGTTTGCAAGGTGAGGAACTGGTGATGTAAACGCAGCTGAGAAAGCAGCAGCAGGATCCTCTTTTGAAACCTTTTTGATGACCAGCATCTTGGTAGGTTGCTTGGCACTAGGAGGGTTTTCTACAAAAACAGAGTGAAACAAGATCTCAAAAATCATTAGTAGAATCTCAGTAATTCCACAAAACTTGACTTTGCCTCAGCTCCAATTCCTCCTCAGAGTTTAAGATGCTGAAATAGTCAACTACTGCTGCTATTAACAGCTCCTGCTTAAGTTGAAGTTCAAATGACAAGGATATCAGACAAAGATGATAAAGTTCAATATCCGATAGGCTCCTCTTGATTTTGAAAAAAACTGCCTATGATGGCATTGGCCTGCAATATTAATAGTCTTTCTGACTTGGCTGAAAAAGGTTACTAGAATGGGTAATTGTATTTAAGTTCAGAGTAACTACTGAGTAATTGTAGATTAATTCAGTAACAAAAATATTTAGTGAAATTCATGCTTTAATATACAATGTTTTGCAACCTGCAACAACCTATTAGAGATTCTGTGCATCTGTCTGTGGGTGTGTTTGTTCAAGAACACCTGCTAATCCAAATTTGGTATGTGATTTCCTCTTCTCCTAACTTAGAGCAAGGTCAGGATCTGGTTGTGCTAGGAAAACCAGAAGTGTCAGAAAAGGGACTGTATGCCATAACATGGAAAGGGAGGGGCTATTCAGAGGGACGCAATGCTGAGAGCAGCCACTGGGGGGGCAGCAAGCCTGCAGAGGAGAGCTATCCTGCAGAGGGTCCAGGAGGGGCTGGGGCTCTGCCATCTTGCATAGCAGTAAGTAGCCCCCCGCCCTTCCCGCCCCAAATCTGCCCCTCCCCCTGGCAGCAGTGCCAGAAGCAGGGGGATGAGGGGAAGAGAAGAGGCCCCTGACGGTTGGGGGAAGATCTGCAGGAGAAGAGGACCCTGGCAGTTGGGGGTCAGGTTTTGGGGTGAAAAGAAGCCCTACCAGATGGGACCCTGCCGCTGAGCCCCTTCTTCCTCCCCAACCCTCATTCTTGCACCCCTCCATCCCTAGCCATCTGCACTGCATCACCACATCCCAAGGCCCTGCTGTGAACTCCTGAACCCCCTCCTCCCCACCAGTCCTCTGTCCTGAAGGATCTGGAAAATGCCAGGTAAGTCTTCTAGTTGGGGTTGCCAGATGATTGAAACAAAAATACCGAACAACCCCTTCCCCCCCCTCCCCCCCCCAAAAAAAAAACCACCAGGAAAAAAATATGTTGAAGAAAAAAAGGGGGGAGGGGGAGACCAAAGTTGTTGAGCAAAAAAAAAGGATTCCTAGATTTATTAAGCCAAAAAAAAAAATACAGTATTAGCTGGGCGGCTCAAGAAGGAGTGGGGAGGCAAGTTGCTTCTCAGTTTAAATCTCTGTGGTAATCACAGGGATAGGATCACTGCTAGGGTTACCAGGTAGTCAAAAAAAATCCAGACATGCTTCATGGGGGGAGAGGGAGGAAGGACAGGCCGGGGGGGGAGCA